TACATATATATATATATATATATATATATATATATATATATATATATATATATATATATATATATATATATATATATATATATATATATATATATACATGCATGTCTGCAGATTGTACTATTACGCTCCTTCACTTCGGTGTTGTTGAGCACTCTGCGGAGTTGTTAATGGGTGTCTATTAGCGATAATGCAAAGCTCACTTCCCTTGTGGTCGTTTGAGCACTCTGGCCCCATTACACTCTGCGCATGTCTGGATGCGTTGATTCACCGTGTTGTACCACATGCCTTGGTGAGAGAAAGTTCATGGGGTATAAATACGATTGTCTCGCGTATCTAGACGTGTACCAAGCTGCACTGACGAGGCGTTGAACGCCGAAACATGCATGTCTGCAGATTGTACTATATGTATATATATATATATATGTATATATATATATGTATATACAGCTAATCCAAAAAAGGTTGTCCTTCGAAAGTCTAAAACTTAAAACCTTAAACCCTAAGCGCGAAAAGCATGACGGTATTTGTCATATTTAATTACATACAGCAATGCCGCGTGCATACAGTCAAGATTTACGATGGAGAGCATTTTGTTTGACAGAAATCATGGGTTTTCATATGGACGAAGTGAGCATCCTATTACAGATGTCGAAGAAAATGATTTCCCGGTATATATGGAAATTTCGTATGCTAGGTCATGTAGACACGGCTGTTATCGGCAGACCATATGCTTGCATAGCAATGCGCACGAGGAGCTTGTTATCATGGAAGTTCTACTGCAGCACCCAGAACGAACATTACCTGAAACGTAACAACATTACACGTAAGAAGGTTGGTCTATTTTACAATGTCGTTCCTATATAGTAATAATAATTTCTCTGCGTTTGCATGCATGTGTATACTATTTAAGGCAAAACTTATTTGTTTAGCTAGCTATAATTGCCCGACAAAGATGCGAAAATGCAAGAGAGGAATTCAGAGCGGCAACGGGATTCTTTTCGGTAGATATGTTCGTTTTCTTAGACAAGAGTGGATACGTAAGTTTCACAACTTTGGCCGCATGGTCCTGTTAAAGCAAGTGTATAATAAAAATAGCGAATATGCACTAAATAATAGACGTGTTTATTTATTTTATATTTCTATACGTTTGCAGGATAAAAGACTTTTAAGATCGTATGGATACAATTTAAAAGGACGACGTGCAAGAATCAGAAGACGATATTTGCCTTTGGGACCACGTATAACCGCGATTCCAATTATCTGCAACGAAGGCTTGCTTGACGTCGCAATGTATGAAGGGCATGTCAATGGAGAAACATTCCTTGAATTTGTGAATGATGTATTGATCCCATGCTTAGTGCTGTTTGATGGTTTTAATCCTCGATCCATTGTGATACTCGGTAAAGTATTTCTTTTATACCTGCATGGTTTTATCGTTTAAACCTGTACATTTCAATTAGTTTAAACTTGTGTCTATAAATGTTACAATTCTTACAGATAATGCAGCTATTCACCACACGGAAGACGTTGTTGATGCAATAAATGCTACTGTAGCTCTCCTCATATTTTTGCCACCGTATTCACCTGATTTCAGGCCTTGGGAAGAGCTTTTTTCCCAGTCTAAAAACTATATTCGACAAAACGACGTTGCGTGGCAAGACTCGCCCGATCCAGCATTGATGGTGTTTGATTCATTTCTTCAAGTGACAGATGGAGAAATACAAATAAACTATATTAGGCATGCTGAATATGCATAACAACGTGAATATTACAGAAAATAAATATATTTATTAAACTTTAAAGATTTGACATTTCTTTTAAAAGAGTTTCTTTTTGTTCTTTGAACTGTTCTGCCGTCAGTACCATGCATGCAGATGCATGACCTGACCTCGTCTATATGTGTGTGTCGGTAAACATTTTATGGTTGTGGCTATAAGTGCATGGCTATAAGTGCATGACTGAGGGGCGAAGTTCATTGGCGATTTTGGTTAACGAAGTATAATATACTGGTTAATTTAAATTAGCTATATATAAATAATTAATAGTTCTAATTTTATAATATAACGTATAAATTGAGGTTCTCCCCAAACACTATATCAAACGTCGTATAACTGAGTAATTTACATCTATATTATTGACTATATACTTTGTATAAGAAATGTACATATATATAAGTATAAATTATGATTACCATGCAACATTTTTATCCAAATTCAAAATTCTCCTTTCTGGCACACAAATTCGAATTAAATTGTCGCAATCTGATATCAAGCTATAGCGTATAATAATGAAGTTTGCAAAGTTAATAAAAGTTTTAGGCCTGTTGTATACATCGAATTTCGGTCGCGTGGAATGCAATTCAAACAATAGATATTGAAGCTCATTATCTATTGTCTTAATTGCATTCGAGCCAACCAAAATTCGACCGGTATAAAACAGGCCTAAGTTCCGCCGAATAACAGAGAAAATGACGTTTTGTCATTTCATAGACATAGTGTACATGCATGTACTGCGATTTAATATAATATATTATATTTAAAGTCATACTGTATGCATGCATAAATGTCCGTGTCAGAATGCATTTCATGCAATACGCGTGAATTACTCGTTTTGTTTGAACTTGTTCGAAAGCGTATACAGTATGCATGCATGTCGCAAGTGGTTCAGAATTTGCCATATGGGACTCACAGCTCATTGCATGCATGCATGAATTAAAGCATTTTTTGGCAAATTTGCATGTCTGACCTTGCATGTGTATTTTGAACCTTAACATCGTTTTGTTTTGGAATAAATTCTTGAGGCCCATTGGGAATTCTTAATTCACGCATCGCCGTTTGAATGCATTCGCTTTGCACGTTGTTTCGAACAAGTTGTATGTATACTGTATAGGAGTAAATTAAAATGGATGAAGGAGATACTGTCCATATGATATTCAAAGTTGTCCAGCAAGATAATAGAACGAAGTACGACACATACAAACGCGAAAATATACCAATTTTTGATAGCGTAACAGATTTGAGAGCATTTCTGCTAGAAAATTTCACAGAGGAGCTCTCAAAACCCATAGATACAAATTCATTCCGTCTTGGTTACATTGTCGGCAAAAACCAATGACTAACAATCAGCAACAGTTCGAACCTCGACGAGGTATATTCGTTATCAAAGGATGGTTGGATAGTTTTATGGGCAGAACCTATTACTAAAAAGAAAGGCAAAGGATCGACATCAAGGGTCACAAAACGAACGTGTTCTCGTGCTTTTCCAGATCATTGCAGCGATCAAGGTATACACATGTGTTTGAGGACATCTGTAAATTATGTTATCATTGACATTGTTCACATTATTATAGTCTGCTCATCTTTATTTCTTAATTACCTTTTGCTGATGAACATTCGCGCGATCGGCTGAAGTAAAACTCGATTTATTAGCAAAAACTTATATACCTGTTTACTTATAAAAAACTCTTGTAGATACACCTGCTCCTGAGTTTGCCACCCATCTACAGCGTTTAACAGAGAAGCATGCAGACGAAGATATCCCACAGTTTAAACTGCGAGTCTGGGCTAGAATGCTGGTAATGTAATCACAACGGTTATAGTTTTATTACATATATAATATGCGTGTACAATATCAATGTTAACAATGCAGTAATAAAACAGTAATCATTAATTGTCTTTTGCATGTGAGAACCTTATAATGTGCATATAAAATTTGAACCAGTATATAACCATTACTATAATTGCCCATGCATGCAGTATATTATATATATAGTTATACTTTGCCAATGAACGTCGCCTGCATGTCACTATTTTAGCACAGCTATATAATGTTTACTTTTGTGTTTCTTTTCAAGGTTAACGGGACACACACAAGCGTGGATATGCCACCTAAAATCCCGTTCTTTACCAGCTTTAAAGAAAACCATACTCCTCCTCCAAAAGCAACGGAAACACACTCTGTACCAACAAGTGGATCTTTAGAAGGAGTTGAACATAGTAATCAGCACGGAAAAAAAGGTGTGCGTATGGTGAATTAATTTTATGATCATGTCTTTACAAATTACAACCACAATTATAGTCATTATAATGGAAACCATGCATAGGTGTACTCGAGAATACAAGTGAAGATTCGAACAGAAAAGGCAGACCGTCCTTTGCTTAAGGTCATGTTTGCACTATATATTTTATTCCAATCAGCTGTATGCCTATGTTTTCCAATAAAGCGGCGAAACCGGTATGTGAAACAGACCGTGAATAATATATTTATATGTTAATCATTTTACAGTTACGAATACGTTCAAGGATTATCCAACAACTAAAAGACCTGAAAGAGTTGGAAGAAACTGGGGTACTGACAGCAGAACAGTTCAAAGTTTAATAAATATATTCATTTTCTGTAATATTTACGTTGTTACGCGTATTCAGCATGCCTAATATAGTTTTGTATTTCTCCATCTGTCACTTGAAGAAATGAATCAAACACCATCAATGCTGGATCGGGCGAGTCTTGCCACGCAACGTCGTTTTGTCGAATATAGTTTTTAGACTGGGAAAAAAGCTCTTCCCAAGGCATGAAATCAGGCGAATATACAGTGGCAAAAATATGAGGAGAGCTCCAGCAGCATTTATTGCATCAACAACGTCTTGTGTGTGGTGAATAGCTGCATTATCTGTAAGAATTGTAATATTTATAGACACAAGTTTAAACTAATTGAAATGTACAGGTTTAAACGATAAAACCATGCAGGTATAAAATAAATACTTTACCGAGTATCACAATGGATCGAGGATTAAAACCATCAAACAGCAGTAAGCACGGGATCAATACATCATTCACAAATTCAAGGAATGTTTCTCCATTGACATGCCCTTCATACATTGCGACGTCAAGCAAGCCTTCGTTGCAGATAATTGGAATCGCGGTTATACGTGGTCCCAAAGGCGAATATCGTCTTCTGATTCTTGCACGTCGTCCTTTTAAATTGTATCCATACGATCTTAAAAGTCTTTTATCCTGCAAACGTATAGAAATATAAAATAAATAAACACGTCTATTATTTAGTGCATATTCGCTATTTTTATTATACACTTGCTTTAACAGGACCATGCGGCCAAAGTTGTGAAACTTACGTATCCACTCTCGTCTAAGAAAACGAACATATCTACCGAAAAGAATCCCGTTGCCGCTCTGAATTCTCTCTTGCATTTTTGCATCTTTGTCGGGCAATTATAGCTAGCTAAACAAATAAGTTTTGCCTTAAATAGTATACACACATGCATGCATGCAAACGCAGAGAAATTATTATTACTATATAGGAATGACATTGTAAAATAGACCAACCTTCTTACGCGTAATGTTGTTACGTTTCAGGTAATGTTCTCATTCTGAATGAATGAATGAATGAATAGTTTGTTTAATAAAAACATCATCTGGCAGTCAGAAGACTGAATTACATGACGTTAAGTGTTACAAGGTTATAAATAGTAAAAAATTCTATATTACAATGCAATTAAGAAATTGTTAATATATACTATATATCATATACTTAAATGTACTAATCTATATGAGTTAAAAATTCTAAAATGTTCAAGGAACATCTGATTTGTAATGTTTCTTAGCATAAAAGTTGATAAAAGAGTTTCCGAAACGATTTGTACTTGCTGGTAAAACTTCAAAAGATATTTCTTTTCGTAATTCTCTATTGCCTGCTTTGGATGGTAAAAGTTTGGCAAGTTTATGATCATCATTTAAAACAATGTCGTTGAAGAGATTATTGGATAGATACTCCCGTCTGTTTTCAAGAGTAGAAATACCAGCGATGTTAAGAGCCTCGTCGTAAGACAATTCATAGAATATTATGTGCTGCAGTAGAACTTCCATGATAACAAGCTCCTCGTGCGGGTGCATTGCTATGCAAGCATATGGTCTGCCGATAACAGCCGTGTCTACATGACCTAGCATACGAAATTTCCGTATATACCGGGAAATCGTTTTCTTCAACATCTGTAATAGGATGTTCACTTCGTCCATATGAAAACCCATGATTTCTGTCAACCAAATTCATACATGTCCAATACTAATGCAAATGTCCAATGGACATATGAAATGTCCATTGGACATATGACTGTCCATTGGATCCAATGGACAACTCAAATGTCCATTGGACATGTGCATGTCCAGTGGACATGTGCATGTCCAGTGGACATATCGAATGTCCATTGGATATTCGAGTGTCAATTGGATCCAATGGACTAAACCGGACTTTGTAACCACCGGGAAAGGGCATCGTGGATATACTGAATGAGTATAATGTCCAATGGTCCATTGGATCCAATGGACGTTTGAAATGTCCAATGGACATATGAAATGTCCATTGGACATTTGACGACCAAGGAATGTCCATCAATTGAATATATAGATACTTCTCAATGCTTCCTTGTATTATCAATATATTATGTTCATATGTTGCTAACGACGCAATATATCAATATATTATGTTGCTTTGTTCCTGATAAGAAAGCACGCAATATATCAATATAATATGTTGTTGCTTCGTTCTTAAGGAACGACGCAATATATCAATATATTATGTTGCTTTCTTCCTAAGAAAGCACGCAATATATCAATATAAAATGTTGTTGCTTCGTTCTTAAGGAACGACGCAATATATCAATATATTATGTTGCTTTCTTCCTAAGAAAGCACGCAATATATCAATATAATATGTTGTTGCTTCGGTCTTAAGGAACGACGCAATATATCAATATATTATGTTGCTTTCTTCCTAAGAAAGCACGCAATATGTCAATATAATAGGTTGTTGCTTCGGTTTTTAGGAACGACGCAATATATCAATATATTATGTTGCTTTCTTCCTAAGAAAGCACGCAATATATCAATATAAAATGTTGTTGCTTCGTTCTTAAGGAACGACGCAATATATCAATATATTATGTTGCTTTGTTCCTAAGAAACCACGCCATATATCAATTTAATATGTTGCCTCGTTCTTAAGGAACGACGCAATATATCAATATATTATGTTGCTTTGTTCCTAAGAAAGCACGCAATATATCAACATAATATGTTATTGCTTTCTTTCTTAAGGAACGACGCAATATATCAATATATTATGTTGCTTTGTTCCTAAGAAAGCACGCAATATATCAACATAATATGTTGTTGCTTCGTTCTTAAGGAACGACGCAATATATCAATATATTATGTTGCTTTGTTCCTAAGAAACCACGCCATATATCAATATAATATGTTGTTGCTTCGTTCTTAAGGAACGACGCAATATAGGCCTATCAATATATTATGTTGCTTTGTTCCTAAGAAACCACGCCATATATCAATATAATATGTTGTTGCTTCGTTCTTAATAAACACGCAATATATCAATATATTATATTCCCTTGCGGTCACCTCATGAATGACTTCAGTACACAGTTTATTAGTTGATGTTTTGCAGGTACACTCGATCAGTAATCACCAATCAGGTATAGGCTAGTTTCAACTCAGGAAAATTATCCGTGGATTTGAACGCACAAGAAAATTTTTCTTTGTGTTGTGAGGTCTGGGTTAGAACTAATGACTTCAACACAAAGAGAAATTTTCTTGCCCGTTCCAAGCCATGCATATAATTTTCCGGAGTGGAAAGTACCCTTAAATTAACTCGATAAGTAATCACATCTGAACAAACACGCAAAATAAAGCCATTTCAACGGTTATTTTTTATCCCGGGCTGAAATTATTTGCGATTACATGCTGCCTGGCTGAAACTCAGGCCGGGCTGAAATTTCAGCTCAGACCCGGCTGAAAATTCAGCCCGGGACTGGAATTTTGGTCATGTAATCCCTTGCTCCGTTTTAATAGGATTTTATCCTTACGACTAAATCCGGCTAGCGAATATGGACCG